ATTGGCAAAAATTTAAAAGATTGATAATAGCCAGTTTTCTCAAGAGTTGGAGAAATGAGCACTGTCAAACTGTGGGAGTAGAATTGTAAGTTGTCTTTTCTCAAGGCAGTTTGGTACTCCAGAATGTTCATAAACTTTGACTGAGCTATTTCACTTCCAGGAATTTAATTTATGAAAAAGTTATATATGCTAAGATGGTGATTGCAACATTGTAGTAGCAAAAATTGGATTATAGTTCAGTTTTACAAAAAAAAAAGGTAGAAAAGCAAACCATAGTTCAATATGTATATATATAACAAATGTGTTTTATATATATGTACATATACACACACACACAGAATTGCATAAATAAAGGTCTGGGTACCCACTGAACTGTGAAAAGATCTTTAACTCTGGGAAGAGAGTGAAGCGTGAGACAATTCTGCATAACTTGAATGTTTACATCAAAATGTATTCCTGGATTATGTAGTTTTTAAATTTTTTACATAAAAAATTTTAATTAATTGAATTCACATTAAAAAGAAAAAGCTGAATCTTTCAGCTCAGGCTGTGTACTTTTCTGCAAGTGTTTGCCAGCAGTACCATTTTCTGGAGGGGATTTTTCTGAAGTAGTTTGCCTAATATTCGCTCTTTTTTGATAACATTTTAGATAACATTCTAATTCTTTTGAGATGTGTAATCACTCCAAAAAAATTTAATGAGTGGCTCTTTCTGTGTTGGGGTCTATGTAGGTTCAAGGCCCCATGACTCAGACTCTGATGAACTGGATGAGGAAGACTCTGAATGTTTAGATAGTGATGATGACTTGGATCTTAAAACACAGGAGCCTGGGGAAGAAGCATCTGTAAAAGGAACTCTTGCTGATCTCAAGTCATACATGGCCCAGATGGACCAGGAACTCGCACATACCAGCATTGGCAAAAGTTTCACCACCCAGAAGCAAATGGTATGTGTGTGTTCAACCTCTTTCCCTTTTGAGTCTAGTACAAAGGATAGCTAAAACCATATTTTATCTTAGTTTTTCTTTTCTTTTTTTCTATTTGATTCATGATAATTTTCTGTGATGAATTTTTTAATTTGAATAAATAAGAATGCTAATTTTTGACGGATTACTGATTTTCTTAAACATAAGCTTGACTATATTACTTATTCTATGTTATCTATCAGGATTTTTTTTTAAAGTCATGTGATATGTTCAAATTAGTATGTGGTTGCATATTCCTACTAATAGCTTAAATTGATTTTAAAAAAAGAGAAGGGATATTAAATATCCAAGTAATTTTCAAGTCTTAATAGTGTTTGTTTTTTATGTTTCCCTTATTTAGAGCCAAATTTAGAATTTATCTTCCACTCATGTTTTTATCCTAGTTTTTATACCAGCACTGTCTAACCACAGATAGAAAGAGAATGGACCCTGGAGTCTCATGGGCGGGGTTTGAAATCCAGCTCAGCTATCCACTGTGAATGTATCCATTAACCAATAATCTTCATGTCATAGAATGAACGTGAGAACCAAATGAGACAACAGTAAAACCCATAATGAGCCCTTAATTAATGTCATTCCCCTTGCTTTGATCATCTTAACCACATTTAAAACTAATCACTTTTAGTATTGCCAAAACCTACTAGAAACCATACATTAGGTTTTAATGTGAATATGAACCACCTGAAGATCTTGTTAAAATATAGATTTTGGTTAAGTATGTCTAGGGTGGGCCTGAGATTTTATATTTCTAACAAGTTCCCAAGTGATGGATATGCTGCTGGTCCATGGACCACACTTTGGGTAGCAAAGATATAAAAATCTATAGATCAAGCTGCAATCTCTCAAATTCTTTCCTCAGCCTATGAAATCAGAGGCTCAAGTACCAATTCACAGTCTCTGTGGTTGGATCCCACAAGGCCTCAGGTTTTTTGTTTGTTTTTTTATTTATTTATTTATTTTGTGGTACGTGGGCCTCTCACTGCTGTGGCCTCTCCCGCTGCGGAGCACAGGCTCCGGACGCGCAGGCGCAGCGGCAGTGGCTCACTGGCCCAGCTGCTCCACGGCATGTGGGATCCTCCCGGACCTGGGCATGAACCCGTGTCCCCTGCATCGGCAGGCGGACTCTCAACCACTGTGCCACCAGGGAAGCCCAGGCCTCAGGTTTTTATTTTGTTTTCTCATTGGGGTGGGGATTGTGGGTAGGGAAGAAATCTCACTTCTTTCACGTAGAGAAAATTTAGATTCTTTTTTTTTTAATGTTCATTTTTCTGTTTATTTCTTTTAAAACTCTTAGGCAAGCTATAAAGTTACCTCCTTAATTCTGGTTATCTCCCTTGGGCTATTTCAAAATCGGGAAGAAATCCATTTAATCTGCAGAAACTTATCCTAGGAAGAAGTGTGTTTTAATCTTCAGAACCACATTTTAATATGTGTGTTCAATTACATAGTTTATTATTAGACTTCATTTTTATTTTCTATCAAGGGAATTTCTTTTCTAATATGGAAATCAATTTTACATTGTTGCTTACTTAGCTTTTTAATGTAACTACCATCCAACCTAATAGCATATTGTACCATGATTTTCTTTTCCCTCCATGAACAAGGAGCCTCTATCCCAGACTGCCAGTAACAATTCAGAGGAGGAAGATTCTGGTGCAGGAGGATCTGTTATGACACCAGTGGATATAGACCTGAACCTGGTTTCAAACATACTGGAATCCTATAGTTCCCAAGCTGGACTGGCAGGACCTGCTTCCAACCTTTTACAAAGCATGGGTGTGCAGCTGCCTGACAGTGCTGATCACGGACCCATAAGTAAGCCAACAAAAGATTAGCCAGCAAACCTAGCCTCTGTTTTTTCTTCTTAAATAAATATTGAGTCTGTCTATGCTCATTTCTAGTTTTGATTACACATTTAGTAAAAATGTTTTCTTCATTTTAAGTTCACAGATTAACTTCTCCTCTGTGAGCCCCAAATGTTGCCCTCTCTGCACAAGTCTTTATGATCTCAACTCTGGGATGCACACAGGTTTTGAAATCAGCAGAAGAGAGAGAATCAAGCCCTTGAGATAAGATGTACACTCCATATTTAGAACATTAAGTTTATCGAGAATTAAATATTGGGTAGAGGAAGGAAGGTAGATAGGCAAACATGAGGAATGAATGAGTTGCTTTTTTATTCCAGTTACCAATGACCTTGAGTCTGTCTCCCTCAGGTGTCCAATAATTTTAGCGTTTTACCTGTTTTTGCTATTCTTCTTCATGGACCCATTGGGTTCTTTTTATCCTTAGCACCTTCATGATTCATTGCCACATAAATATTCTCCAGCCAGGTGAGCCCCACACCAAAGTTTCTTTTATTTATCTGCCATTTTTCAGTGCCCCAACCCTGCCCTCTTTGGCCTCTGCTTTCAGTTATCCTTGGAGTTCTAAGAAGCAAAGCCCTCTTCCCACTCACTGCTGGGAAACAAAGTTCAATGTTGCAGCTCCTCCTATTAGCCATTCTCATTTTTTCTTTTCCAGCACAACACATTAATCCAAAAGTAAACACTCCATGGTAAGTTTGAGAAACTCACAACCAGGAATCCTGCACACTCCCCTTTCTATCAGTATTTTCAGATTCCCCAGTCTGAAAATACTGTGTACACATGTGCTCACAAACACACCCACAAAGAGATAGAAAACATTGGGAGATGGTAATACACATGGACCCTGAACTGTTTTCTTCTAACTGCAAGATATGAAGAAATCTCAGGATCTCTCTTTCGAGAGTGCTTTTCCCTTCTACATGCTAGGTTCAGCCCAGGTCAGGGCAAGCTGCCAATCTAACAGGACAATCAAGTCCCATCACATATTATCCCTCAATATTTCCTGATGAAGGCAGTTTGATTTCCCCAAAGCAATGATGTTTTGCTGGCAATGGTGAGAGTAACAACCTTTTGGGATCAAAAGGAAATTCAGTCACTTCAATCTTTCTAGTTCTAGAATCTCTTTTACTTAGTCCTGTGGGACTTGGATGTGTGAATAATCTTAGGGTCTTTGGCACTTGTGTCTTTAATCACTAGTTAGTTGCCTAAAAGTACCTGAAGATAAGACTTTCCCCAGCCATTCCTCTTTTCAAACAGACCTCTAACAGGATTTCTTCTGAATATTGCTTTAGTCATTCCACAGACTTGGAATCTGGACTTAAATGTTTGTCACACTAATAGATTACTCCCACCCCCAATTCTCACTTTCTACAATTTTCTCACTTCATAAGACAGAAATATACATCTGAACAAAGGTACAGAAATTTATTCCATTTCCTCCAGATAAGTGCTTCTTCCCTATGACAAGGTTTAGAATGGTATATATGAATGATAAGAAATCCTAAATTTAGTTTATCCCATAAAACTCAAGAAATGGTTCATCTTCACTGATCGCTTCATTGAAGTTACACTTACTGCGTGTGCAAAAGGCAGCAACCATTTTACCTTTAGGAAAACAGGCATGGCAAGTGATAATCTTTTCCCTGGGTCACAAACTGAGCAAGTAACAGCAAAAAAGACTTACGCTCTTGAGCCCCACTGGCATGCAGTTACCTCAATAGAACATCACTGCCTCTGATTTACTAGAGAGTACTTTGAGGAAGACCTTAACTTCCACTTTCCTGGGATGAAGGACTTAAAGGAATATGACTTTTATTTAACTACAATGTACAAAATAATTACCTCTACACAAATTCAAAAATGTTGTGCTGGGCTTCCCTGGTGGCACAGTGGTTTAGAATCCGCCTGCCAGTGCAGGGGACATGGGTTCGAGCCCTGGTCCAGGAAGATCCCACATGCTGCGGAGCAATTAAGCCCGTGCACCACAACTACTGAGACTGCGCTCTAGAACCCGCAAGCCACAACTACCGAGCCTGCACGCCTAGAGCCCGTGCTCCACAACAAGAGAAGCCACCGCAATGAGAAGCCCGCACACCACAACAAAGAGCAGCCCCCACTCGCCGCAACTAGAGAAAACTCGCGCACAGCAACGAAGACCCAACACAGCCACAAATAAATAAGTAAATAAATTTGTTTAAAAAATATGTGCTATTTTTTAAAATTGTATGAGGATAAAAAGGAACTCAGTAGAGGGTTGAGATCTGCTATATATTTTCAATATTAAAATAAAAGTTGTAACCAAAATTATACCAGGCACATTTTGGCAGTTAGTATAAACCCAGCATTGACAAGCCACATGCCAAAAGATGTTTGCTTCCAAAGCACAGGAGAAAATGAATGAGCAAGGGCCCATATCCAAACTAATGCTTCAACTTTCCCTCTGATTTTGACAATTGTCATCTCATCAGTTTTGGCATTTTTGATTGCCTGTGATTAGGAACTTCTTTTATTAACACTGCTGGCAGATGTGCCTTGCTGGGGGCTCACCATCTGCTCTGCCTTCTTATGATGTTGGCCTGGAGATGACCTTTCGTCACCACCTCTTCATCAGTTGATCTCTGATGTGCCCCTCTGAGATAGGAGAGATTTATCTAATTAGGTGGCCTGATCTGAGCTAAGCAGGCAGGATAGAACAGGTCGGTTTTTCCACCCACTCCTTTTATCAGTTGGTGGGTAAAGGCTAACTTGGGGCGGGGGGGGGGCAACCAGAATGGGAAAGCCCCATTCTGTTGCTGATAATATGGGTTGTCTTTCCTCAGGGCTGTGGCCACCTCATCATGACTGAACCAGGCAGCTGCTTCTAGTTCTCTCAAGTTCACCTGGATCTGAAAGACATAAGGAAAAACAGGCTATAAGGTTAGGAGATACAAAACTTAGAATACGACGGCCAAAGATGAGAAAATGTTTCCAGAACTGAGCAATCTTAGAAGGTAATATCTGGGATCTATAGTCTGGGAGATAATCAGTTCTAGATAGGGTCCAGAAGCAAAAGTACCATAATTAAGAGATGAGAGTTAAGTATATATTTTAAATATTAAAAAAAAAATTTTTAATCCTGGAAGCTCAAATAGTAAAATATTGAGTGGTTTGGGAATTCCCGGGCGGTCCAGTGGTTAGGACTCGGCACTTTCACTACTGTGGCCCAGGTTCAATCCCTGGTTGGGGAACTAAGATTCTGCAAGCCATGTGGCGTGGCCAAAAAAAAAAAAAAAAAAAAAAAAAAAAAATAATAAAGGGAAGAAGGGTGGAAAAAAAAAAAAAAAAAAAAAAAAGTGGTTAACATTGAGAGGTAAAATTATATAACTAAAAAAAAGAACATATACATGTTACTCTTCTTCAAAGGATGTGTTAATTAATGATAGTCAAAAGCATAGTATCTGCCTTGCAAGAAGCAAAAATGCAAACTGCATCCACAGGGAGCTGAGACAGATTAGATATTATTCATTGTATAGAAACCAAAGCACAAAATAGACTTTGGCTCATAGGGACCACAACACCATCTGTCAGGGATGTTAGAGCAAGGTGAGGTGGGATAAGACAACATCTAAGTCCCTTTCAATCAGAAGTTCCTATGATTTTATATTATTAGTTCCCAACATCCTGACTGGAGCAATAATACCAATTCTGAAATCAGTCATTAAATTTTATATATTTATTGTGTGCCTATTCTATGCAAGACTGTTAACTTCCTGATGATGAAAGATAAATTGTTTCATGATTGAGATATATACAAGGAAGAATGGTGATTGTGTTGGCACTCCCAATTTTTATGGTGATTAGTTGTTTATAAGATTGCAAATTCCTTAAAGGTATAAATCATATATTACATGTCTTTGTATAATCTAAACAATGCTGGACTAGACAGGTGCTTAGTAAGTACCTATGGACCAGCTTGGATGAGGCAAAGGATATATCATAAGGGAAGCATCAGAACTCACCTCTGTCTGCCCTGGTTTCACAGTTGCATGACAAGCAATCATGAGTGCACCATTAGGAAAGGGCCAGTGCTGAGATGCAGAGTATTGCAGTCTTTCCACCTCCAATCCCACCTCTCCTGCAGCTTCTCGCCAGATAGCCTCTTCCAGACTTTCACCTATAAGCACACAGATTAATTCAGGACAGCCCTGCAGTAGGAAGGGTGATACAGAAGCCCGTTGGCGAAAGGAACGCAAAACTGGCTCCCAAGTCAATGAAATACTCTTGGGGGAGCCCTAAATCTCTGAGTCTCTACACTAGGAATCAAGTCTGAAGTTGGGTATTGAACCACAATACTTGAACCTACTAGGTTAGTTACACAAAATAAGAGTTGGAGAGGCTACTGCTGCCCTCAGGTTTTTAATAAAGTTCAAATGCCACATTTCACCATTTGCAAATTTTACCCCAATAGACTGACAAAAAAACCAAACAAACCTGTAAATAAATATTAAATTCTAGTTAATATAATATTAATATGCATGTTGAAATATTTAGGAGGAAGTGTACTAATGTCTGCAATCTATGCATCAAAAAATAAGATGGATTAATGGGTGGATAGAGGAATGCATAGACAGATATGTGATAAAGTAAACATAGTAATTATGGAATTTAGGTGGTGAGTACATGGGTGTTTACTGTATAAATCTTCTAGCTATGCTTATGTTTGAAAATTTGCCTATAAAATATTGGAGAATTGATGCCACAAAGTAGTTTTCTTGATATAATAGGGAAGAATGTGCTTGAGACACTATGGCAACAAGAATAAGAAATACATACTATTTCATACTATAAGATTTCATGTCTTTCAATGTTATCTGTATATGCCCGAAATTCCTTACCTATTATCACAAAAACCTGCCAAGGCAGAATACATTCCCTTGGGAAAGGAACTCTGGCGGGCAAGCAGTCATTGAGTCCCATCTGACACCAGAGTGATCACCACAGGAGTCATCTAGGAAAAGGGGATGGAAACTTGGGCACTAGGGCTTTGGGGCCTGTTAATGAAACAAAGTAATGGGTAACTAAGGAAAGCCTTTTAGCTGTACAGGCTTCCATCCACAAGACAAAGTAGTGCACAGCCTTCTTGGATTACTGACCTTTTAAAGCGATAATTACCTGTGGATAATAGATGATCTTATTGGAAGGGCACACACGCTTGCTGCCAGCCACATTCTTCTTGGTGGGCTGTCCACTTCTGCTGCAGAACTGATGAGCATCATGCCAATGGAGAAGAGCCTGAGCCTAGGAATACAAAGATGGGCTTGGTTTCATTTGGAGAGTATGTGGGGCTCATTATAATGGTGCTGGGGCTACTATTTAGAGCAACTCAAAGGGACACACCAATCCCTTTTCAGCTCACCTACTTTAAATGCTTATTAACTATTTAAACTTTAAAATAAGGAAACTATTTGAACATAGTCCTCTAGCATCTGAAGTACGAATTTTATTTTATTTTATTTTGGGGGGCTGTGTTGTGTGGCTTGCGGGATCTTAGTTCCCCGACCAGGGATTGACCAGGCCCACAACAGTGAAAGCCCAACTCCTAACCACTGGACCGCCAGGGAATTCTCTGAAGTATGAATTTTTAAAAAGCATATTTTAAATGTATTATGAATTATTTTAAAAATATGATATATAAAATATCATAATGAACACCCGTGAACTTATGAGCCAGCTTAAAAAGAAAACATTTTCAGTATAATTACCACCCCAACATGTACTCCTCTCCAATAAAGTTGGAATTTTTTTGCAAATAAAAAATGTTAAGGGACTTCCCTGGTGGCCCAGTGGGTAAGACTCCACATTCCCAATGCAGGGGGCCTGGGTTCCATCCCTGGTCAGGGAACTAGATACTGCAACTAAGAGTCTGCATTTTGCAACTAAAGAAGTCTGCATGCCACAACGAAGATCCTGTGTGCCACAACTAAGACCCGGCACAGCCAAAAATAAATAAATAAATAATTTTAAAAATGTTTAGAGATACCTCTTTAAATGGGCAGTCAAAAGCACTTTAGCAAGTGAAATCTAAAGCTGGAGGACAAGTCGTTAAAGCAATATAAAATAACTTCTCATGATGTATATGTCATGCTGTGGGTCATTAAAAATGTTTATAAGGCTGATAGATCATATTGCCATATATCTGCGCACCCTCAGGAGACAATGGTACTAACAACGGTCCTGCCAAAAACAGGGTAAAAGAAAGAAGAATAAGCAATCTCCCTACAGCACATTGTCCTTCTGCCAAGGTTTGTAGGAAGGACTATGATCTGAAAAAAAAAAATCAAATGTTTCCCATATACACTACTTTACTTAATTTCCTACAGAACCAAGAAATCAATCTACCATGGATAGCAAGGAGGCATCCTTCACATTCAGCTGAAAGAGAGCCTTCCTCAGCCCAGTGAAAGACCCCTTGAGCTCTGTCTCCATTTCAGGTTTCTGTAAGGAAGCTAAAAAATTAGAAAAGAGAACAAAATGAAATGAATGTCAAGCTTTACCTCAGGGACCCTCTCAAGTATATTCTGTTAGAACATTGTTTCCCAAACTCAACTAATATGACTCAACTAGGGAGAATAAAAAAATATACAGGTTCTCAAACCCCTGCCTGGAGATTCTGAATAGCAGGTGAGTGAGGCCCAGAAATCTTGATTTTTTAACAAGCACCAGGAGATTCTTATATTCAGGCAAATTTGGGAAACATTAGAGCATAGTGTTTCCCAAGATCCTCTTCGGGGCAATAAGAACATTCGCACTAGCCACACACTATCCCTGGCTAAAAAGATGAAAGGGGACCTCTAAGCTCCTATCTGAACCTCCATTCCAGCATCATTACATTTACAGCTACACCGTGAAAGAGAGAAGGAAAGCCTGACAGGAGCCATGAGCCTCTAGCAAACCAGTTCCCAAATGCAGGTCTGAAGACCCAGAGCTACTCCAAGGTAACATGTTTATTCACCTGCATTGATAAGAGAAATAAGAATAATGTCATGGATTTTAAAACATTTCTTATGAAATATTTAAGACATATAAAGGTATAAATGTATAAAGGTACAGAGAATAATACAGTAAACATCTTTGTACCACCACCTAGCTGAGAAAGAAAGTATTAAAATGTCCTTTAAGTGATGATGATGGTAGATGGTACTATCTTTTAAGGTCCTAACTTAAGAAAAATTGAAATTGTTTTGTATTCTTAAAATGTTCTTTGAAATTTTACTATTATGTGGAATCCCAAAGTCTAAGAACCACTGGGAAGTACCCATCAGGAATAATGTTATGTACCATTTATGGAAGAGGAGCTATTTAGACCTAGATCCAGAGCAAACAATGCTTCTTGCTGTTCGGAGCATCCAGTTAGCATGGAATATTCTGTTGTTTGCATGTCCTGCCCAAACTTACCCAGGAGTCTTTCCAACTCGAAGAAACACAGAAGGAGAAGGGAAGAAAACAAGGGTTTTAATTAAACCATCAGAGCCATACTAGACTTATTGGAAACCATCTACTTCAACTTGAAGTAGGTACAGCTGGCTTCTAGTCACTGCCCTGCAGCTAATTAGCTATATCATCTTGGCCTAATCACTTAACCTCTCAAGGCCTCCATTTTCTCATCAGCAGTCTGAAGAGTTTAAAGGAACTCTTTCTGTGTAACACTGTATTACTCTATGATTGTATCATGAAAGGAGCATATCCCCTAGTTTTAAAGATACATGATAGTTGACTTATTAAAGCACTGAAAAAAAAATAAGTGTCAAACTTAAAATGGTAGAGAGACCAAAGCAGGTCTATAGTTTACTCTTCAAATCATGCTGCTTTTTTGGGCCAGGGTAGACTACTCATCTGAGACCCTGGTCTGTAAAGACAAGTGCTGTATAGGGAGAAAATCTATCCTCCTGTGCATGAAGGGCTCATATTTATTTGTTCATAATACAAGATTACATTGCTAATCTATAAATAATGTTCAGTGCCTTCTGATAAACATCCTCATATACTTATGCACTGCTAGAAACTACCTATCTAAGTATTCCAACATCTGACCCTGGCAATGTATTTAGAAGTTTCTGCATAGTGGCATCATATAAAACTCAAGGTAGCATCTTGAATGCCAAATCCCAATGGCTTAGATATCTCTAGTTATATACCTTCAAAGAGTTCTCAAAACAATTTTAGTTCACGTTTAGTTTTGACCCTTCTAAGGAGAAATTAAGTCATGATGCAAATCTTAAACTGTAACAGTGAACAGCTTCTTGGAGGCTGGAAATTGCTGGTCCAAGGCAGGGGTTGGCAAAATATGTCAAGTTCTGTGAGCCATACGGTCTCTGTCACAATACTCTGTTTTACCATTGTAGTGCAAAAGCAGTCATAAACAATATGTAAATGAATGAGTGAGGCTGTGTTCCAATAAAAATGTATTTAAAAAACAGACATGGGTTCCAATTTGGACAGCAGTTTTCCTGACCCTTGGTTTAAGGCTATAGTGGTTCAAACCATCACCAAAAAATATTCGATTGGGCGATTCAGGTTTATACGTTAAATAATTAATTGGCAGAAGAAGTTTGAAAAATCTGGACTCTAAACTCGGAGGATTCTTCTCAGGGATTTGATATGGACCGAGTTCTGCTTAGCGGCCACAGCCTGGTCTACTTTACTAGTCTACTCAGGGCTTACCTAGTAGGCTATGCTGGCGGGGCCAGGTATTGATGTTCTGATTTCTGAACCAAAGGAGCCAGGTTATGAAAGCGGTAAAATGCTCCTGTCTGCTGGGCTTTTTTACATGCATCATCATCTTCCTTCAGCTTAGATAAATACCTGTGTTTTGGAAATAATCAGAGCATTACAAAACCATACTTAGTTTCTTTTACAGCATTCATCTTTGAGAATTCTGTTCCTGCACTGGTCTCCTACCACGGTTATTCCTTTTATTTATTTACATCCTAAATTTCTTTAAAAAAGGATTTGAGGTGGCTACAGGGGGTCATTCCCTCCTTTGTCCTACTGTATACCTTGCCCATACTTCTGTGGTTGCACTTACATGGTGCTATTTGTTAATCTGTGTCTCCCCTGAAAGACTATGATCTTTTTTTTTTTTAACATCTTTATTGGAGTATAATTGCTTTACAATAATTGCTTTACAATGGTGTGTTAGTTTCTGCTTTATAACAAAGTGAATCAGCTATACATATATCCCCATATCTCTTCCCTCTTGCATCTCCCTCCCTCCCTATCCCACCCCTCTAGGTGGTCACAAAGCACCAAGCTGATCTCCCTGTGCTATGCGGCTGCTTCCCACTAGCTATCTATTTTACGTTTGGTAGTGTATATATGTCCATGCCACTCTCTCACTTTGTCACAGCTTACCCTTCCCCCTCCCCATATCCTCAAGTTCATGCTCTAGTAGGGCTGTGTCTTTATTCCCGTCTTACCCCTAGGTTCTTCATGACCGTTTTTTTTTTCCTTAGATTCCATATATATGTGTTAGCGTACGTTATTTGTTTTTCTCTTTCTGACTTACTTCACTCTGTATGACAGACTCTAGGTCCATCCACCTCACTACAAATAACTCAATTTCGTTCCCTTTTATGGCTGAGTAATATTCCATTGTATATATGTGCCACATCTTCTTTATCCATTCATCCGATGATGGACACTTAGGTTGCTTCCATCTCCTGGCTATTGTAAATAGAGCTGCAATGAACATTTTGGTACATGACTCTTTTTGATTTATGGTTTTCTCAGGGTATATGCCCAGTAGTGGGATTGCTGGGTCATATGGTAGTTCTATTTGTAGTTTTTTAAGGAACCTCTGTACTGTTCTCCATAGTGGCTGTATCAATTTACATTCCTACCAACAGTGCAAGAGGGTTCCCTTTTCTCCACACCCTCTCCAGCATTTATTGTTTGTAGATTTTTTGATGATGGCCATTCTGACTTGTATGAGGTGATACCTCATTGTGGTTTTGATTTGCATTTCTCTAATGATTAGTGATGTTGAGCATCCTTTCATGTGTTTGTTGGCAATCTGTATATCTTCTTTGGAGAAATGTCTATTTAGGTCTTCTGCCCATTTTTGGATTGGGTTGTTTGTTTTTTTGATATTGAGCTGCATGAGCTGCTTGTAAATTTTGGAGATTAATCCTTTGTCAGTTACTTCATTTGCAAATATTTTCTCCCATTCTGAGGGTTGTCTTTTGGTCTTGTTCATGGTTTCCCTTGCTGTGCAAAAGCTTTTAAGTTTCATTAGGTCCCATTTGTTTATTTTTGGTTTTATTTACATTTCTCTAGGAGTTGGGTCAAAAAGGATCTTGCTGTGATTAATGTCATAGAGTGTTCTGCCTAAGTTTTCCTCTAAGAGTTTTATAGTGTCTGGCCTTACATTTAGGTCTTTAATCTATTTTGAGTTTATTTTTGTGTATGGTGTTAGGGAGTGTTCTAATTTCATTCTTTTACATGTAGCTGTCCAGTTTTCCCAGCACCACTTATTGAAGAGGCTGACTTTTCTCCATTGTATATTCTTACCTCCTTTATCAAAAATGACTATGATCTTCTTAAGGGCAGGGTCTGCCTTAGTTCTGTATCATGGGTAATTAGCATATTGAATGGCTCATTTCAATAAGTATTTATTGAATGGAACTTCAAGGGTAATAAATATTTACTGAATTGAACCTCAAGGTACTTTGCCAATATTATGCTCTGAGGCAAGAATTTACATGCAGTGGAGTGAAAGGAAAACAAGTTCAGTGATAAAACATCAACCACAGAGCACCTAGAGATGGGAGCAGACTTTATTATTGCAGACAAGGAACAAACAGTATACCTTCAGAAACCCTTATTCAATCTAGGGATGATAAAGAGCAAATTTATCTTCAATGCACTCTTGTTTCAAACATCTATTCCCCCTGGTGGATGCCGTTAGCTTCTTATCTCTACTGAAGGGATCATTGATGAAAGTGAAGCCATATTTGACATACACTTATTTAATAAGTGTAATAATTTCTTTTCTTTTCTTTTCTTTTTTTTTTTTTGCGTTACGCGGGTCTCTCACCGTTGTGCCCTCTCCCGCTGCCGAGCACAGGCTCCGGACACGCAGGCCCAGCCGCTCCGCGGCATGTGGGATCCTCCCGGACTCGGGCACGAATCCATGTCCCCTGCATCGGCAGGCAGACTCCCAACCACTGCGCCACCAGGGAGGCCCCAAAGTGTAATATTTTCAATAGCCAAAATTAAAATGTAGAAAAAGAGAACATCCTGTAATTAGTTTCTCTAAAAAAAAAAACGTAATAGAGCAAGTTCTGTACCTTCATTAAGGACGGCCTAAGTCTATCCTTTCAAGAGACTTGGAAATCAGGGCAGGAACTGCGTGATTCAGGGAGGACTGAATGTGGATTCTCCTTCTGCGGCCTTAGGGATAATGATTTTTTTTTGGCCTTGCCGCTCAGCCTGCAGGATCTCAGTTACCCTACCAGGGACTGAACCCAAGCTCCAGCAGTGAAAGCCTATGGTCCTAACCACTAGGCAACCAGGGAACTCCCAAGGATAATGATTTTGACTGCTGAAAGCCCTACAACAGACTCTCAGGTATATGGCATATTTTGTCACTTAAGTAGGAAACACAGTTTAGAGATATTTTCTGTAGGATCTGGGAGCTTTTGTAACACCAGTAGAGTTAGCTCCACATGAAACTACAAAGTAAAATGATAAACATGCCCTAGTGGCATCTATAGGAACCTATTTTTGACTGTATGATAAAAGCAATTGCAGTGAGCGCTTTGTAAACAGAAGACAAAAGAAACAGTTTTCTGAGATTTGAATACTCATGATATTTTTATACTTATTGTGAGTGACTGCAACCTCCTGGGACAAAGTCTCAATGTATGTCAAAGGAGAGCTATGTGCCACTCAGAAGTTACCAAATATAAACAGTAGAACAAAATGCTAACTTTGTAAAAGAACAGTAGCAGTGATACAACCTGTGCTTTGCCCTAAAGATCCTAAAAAGCAAAACATCTACAAAAGCATCCAGGTTAAGGTCTTAAACCTGGGGCCTCACTGGAACTGGGACTGAGATCCAAAAAGTTCCTTGCATTCTTCTTGATTGGAACACTTGTTTTAGAAATGCATTTTCTTGCTGTACATCTGAAACATTGTAAATCAACTATACTTCAGTAAAAAAATAAATGCGCTAGAAGGATATATTGTACAGCACAGGGAATATAGCCAATATTTTATAATAACTTTTTTTAATGTATACCAATAAAGTACCATATTTATTTGTTTTAATAGGTGTTATTTTATTGGGATTTTACATAAGACTTTTGTTTCTAGATCACCACTGCTCTAGGGAAACCAACATAGAATTTTTAGCAGGAAAAAATGACATAATTACATTATAATTCAGAAATAACCATTATTATAACAAAATGAATTGGAATAGGGTAAAACAAGAGGTGACAAAATCAGTTAGGAAGTGATTTCAAGAGACCAGGCAAAACAAACACATGAAAGAATACTCAGCATCATCAATTAGAGAAATGCAAATAAAAACCACAATGAGGCATCACCTCACACCCGTCAGAATGGCCATCATCAAAAAATCTACAAACAACAAATGCTGGAGAGAGTGTGGAGAAAAGGGAACCCTCCTGCACCGTTGGTGGGAATGTAAATTGATACAGCCACCATGGAGAACAGCATGGAGGCTCCTCAAAAAACTAAAAATAGAACTAGCATACGACCTAGCAATCCCACCACTGGACATATATCCTGAGAAAACCATAATTCAAAAAGAGTCATGTACCACAATGTTCATTGCAGCTCCATCCACAATAGCCAGGACATGGAAGCAAGACAAGTGTCCATCGACAGATGAATGGATAAAAAAGATGTGGCACATATATACAATGGAACACTACCCAGCCATAAAAAGAAACAAAATTGAGCCACCTGCAGTGAGGTGGACAGACCCAGAGTCTGCCACACAGCGAAGCAAGTCAGAAAGAGAAAAACAAACACCGCATGCCAATACATATATATGGAATCTAAAAAAAAAAAAACGGTCATGAAGAATCTAGGGGGCAGGACAGAAACAAAGACGCAGACCTACTAGAGAATGGACTCGAGGACACGGGGAGGGGGAAGGGTAAGCTGGGAGAAAGTGAGAGAGTGGCATGGACATATATACACTACCAAACGTAAAATAGATAGCTAGTGGGAAGCAGCCGCATAGCACAGGGAGATCAGCTCTGTGCTTTGTGACCACCTAGAGGGATGGGATAGGGAGGATGGGAGGGAGGGAGACACAAGAAGGAAGAGACACGGGGACACATGTATATGTACAGCTGATTCACCCTGCCACACAGCAGAAACCAACACACCATTAAGCAATCATACTTCAATAAAGATGTTAAAAAAAAAAATGGGGCTTCCCTGGTGGTGCAGTGGTTGAGAGTCCACCTGCCGATGCAGGGGATACGGGTTCGTGCCCCGGTCCAGGAAGATCACACATGCCATGGAGCGGCTGGGCCCGTGAGCCATGGCCGCTGAGCCTGCACGTCTGGAGCCTGTGCTCCACAACGGGAGAGGCCACAACAGTGAGAGGCCCGCGTACCGCAAAAAAAAAAAAAAAAAATGGGCACAGGTTCGTGATGCCCCAAAACAATTACAATAGTAACATCAAAGATCACAGATCACAGATCACAACAAATATAATTATAATGAAAAAGTTTGAATTATTGTGAGAATTACCTAAACGTGACACAGAGACATGGAATGAGCAAATGCTGTTGGAAAAATTGTTCCAAGAGGATTACTTGACGCAGGGTTGCCACAAACTTTCAATTTGTAAAAAGCACAGTATCTGCAAAGCGCAATGAAGCAAAGCACAGTAAAATGAGGTATGCCTGTATACATTATGCTTTATACATTGCAGTATTCAAGGCTCAAATTGTCCCAAATTTGGCCAATGTGAACTCCTTGAAGTTGACCCCTGTATCCACACAACACCAGTGGTATTGAAAGAATTCCTGCTTTCTGGCATAGCAAGAGGTATCAAGCTCATCTGGTACATTTCCCGCCCCAGACCTAGAATCAGCCATTATTTTCAAGGAGCCCTTCTTCCTTTTGTTGGGAAATGGCTTTCAGAGACTATGATCAGCACTGGGGATGCTCGGTTCTACCACTACCAGACTGTCATTATTTCTATGCCCTCTCAGTAAATAAAGCTAGGAAATATGTGAATTTCAGAAAGAAAACTAAATCTTGCATTCATATGGATATTTCCAATTTAAGTGAACAATTAAATCATCAGTTATTATATTCGTATCCCTTTGCTTTCACACTGAAAATCTTGGTTTTAATGACATTAACATGATTGCGTATTTGCTTATGCATATACATAACATATACATATATAATGTATATTATGCGTAAAATAGTTTCAAAGCTACAATACTAGTATTACTACTAACAACAGAACTATCAATTGTGGGACTTCCCTGGTGGTCCAGTGGTTAGGACTCCAAGCTTTCACTTGCATGCTTTCACTTGCACAAGCTTACATATCTGGAAATAGTCTGAAGTCAAGGTTTCCTGAATCTCCTCTCTGAGAACCCCTGCAGTCCCTCCTGGATGCATGGAACCACTTCCAGCCCTGCCACCACTGTTACTGCCACTGCTGCTACTACTGCCAGGGGAGGAGGCAGTTAAGCCATCCAAAACTTTTCGGAAATTAAACTTCTTCATTCTAAAAACATAGGACAATGAGGGGCACCAGACATGTCTCTGAAGGTTCAGGGTCCAAGGCTCTGCTAGTGTTGGAGGGTCTCCTGCAGAGGTGGGGGGTGGCTGTGGCTCACAGTGAGGACAAGGACACTGGCAGCAGAAGTTCTGGGAAGTACTCCTTGGCGTGAGCCCTCCCAGAGACTCTATAATAACTTTTAATGCAATATAATCTATAAAAATTTTGAATCGTTGTGTTAATCACCTGGAACTAAGAATATTGTAAATCAACTATACCTCAATAATAAATAAATAACTTACAAATGCATTTTTCACCTAATTTAAGTATAATAGTTTGGAAACCATAACACACTAAAATTATCAAACTTAAACTGTTTATTTCTTATTAATTTATACCCCCATAACATAGGAGCAGGGTTTTTTAAAAAAACAAATTTATTTATTTATTTATTTTTGGCTGCGTTGGGTCTTCGTTGCTGCGCGCGGGCTTTCTCTAGTTGCAGCGAGCGGGGGCTACTCTTCGTTGCGGTGCGCGGGCTTCTCATTGCGGTGGCTTCTTTTGTGCAGCAGGGGCTCTAGGTGCACAGGCTTCAGTAGTTGTGGCTCATGGGCTTAGTTGCTCCGTGGCATGTGGGATCTTCCCGGACCAGGGCTCGAACCCATGTTCCCTGCATTCGCAGGCGGATTCTTAACCACTGCGTCACCAAGGAAGTCCCTGAGTGGTGGGATTCTGGATGATTTCTCTTTTTTAAAAAAATTGGTAACTGTATTTTCTGATTTCTATAGAATGACTATTTTTTAACTTTCATAATAAGAAAAAAGGGACTCCCCTATGGCGCAGTGGTTAAGAATCTGCCTGCCAATGCAGGGGACACGGGTTCGAGCCCTGGTCTGGGAAGATCCCACATGCCACGGAACAACTAAGCCCATGCGCCACAACTACTGAGCCTACATTCTAGAGCCCATGAGCCACAACTTGAGCCCGTGTGCCACAACTACTGAAGCCCGTGTGCCTAGAGCCCGTGCTCCGCAACAAGAGAAGTCGCTGCAATGAGAAGCCTGCGCACAGCAACAAAGACCCAACACAGCCTAATTAATTAATTAATTAAATTTTTTAAAAAAGGAATCCCACCACTCACAGATGATCATTGTTTATACCTTGGAATTCTCCAAAGTATTTATTAATATTATGCATCTATACATATGCAATAAGTACTTTTAGAACTGATCTACTACTTTGTAGCTTTTTTTTGTAAGCATATTAACATTTTTCACACCATATTCTTTACTGATAGAATTTTAGTTTTCTTATGATTTTTAATTCATTTTCAATACATTTAATCACTTTAACACTCATTTTTTAGACTTCAGTAATTCTGTTATTGTTCTTAGAGTCTCAGCCTGAGAACTGTAAATAACCCAAATGTCCAACAATATCTAAAACAAGTATTGCAATTTTGTTGTCTTCTAACTCTTGCTCATGTAAGATTGTGTGCGTTTATGTGCCTTTAAATATTGAACTGGGCCCTCATGTATGGCAGAGCTTTCAGTGTGGGAAGCCCTGGTAGTGAGTGTATCCCTCCAGAGGGGTTTTACATCTGCAAGTCTACAAATACTACTTAAAGTCTTTTCTTAGTTTGGGGGTTTGGGACCATACCACATAGATGGTGCAAATTTAAACCCCAAAACTGAATGAGAGCAGGCTACTGATTTCAAATTCACAGATTTTATATTTGCCCAGGCTGGGGACAAAGAAGTCCTTTATCACCTTCCTGTACTGGTGTAGATTTTTTTTTTTTCTAGTCTGCCTTTCACTGTGGTTTAGTTCTTGGGGGAGGGAGTTGCGAGGGGATGGGGAGGTATGCAGGTGGTATGCAGGACTGGAGTTATCTACCTTATTTTCAGGAAACTTAATGAACTATTATTCAATATAGTTTTTAATTCTATCATATGGGTATATCATGATTTAATTAATTTTTCCCTTACTGTTCATTCATCCATTCAACAATATTTCAGTGCCTACTATGTGCCAGATACTAGGGTTTTATGCACTAGGGGTACCATAGGGGAAAAGACAAAGTTCTTACCTTTTTTTTTTTAAGTCTTCATTGAATTTGTTACAATATTGCTTCTGTTTTTTTTTTTTTTATGTTTTGGTTTTTTGGCCCCAAGGCATGTGAGATCTTAGCTCCCCAGCCAGGGATCTAACTCACACGCCCTGCATTGTAAGGTGAAGTCTTAACCACCCGCCAGGGAAGTCCCCAAAGTTCTTATCTTAAAAAAAGAACTTATATTTAAGTATGTCAGACATTTTAGATATTGGAAATTTAATTGTTTAGAAATTCTCTAGTTATAAATAATTTGCATTGAACATCTTTATACGTAAATCTTAATCATACATCCGTAATCCCCAATATAGGATTTTGAGATACTTATATTTTATAATTTAATGGACCAAAGATATAATAATTAGAGCTGTTTGGTCAAAACTCACCGTGTCTTAGTGACATAGGTTGACAGCAGCCTATAGCACCAAAAAGATCTTCTCCTGCGAGTAATTCCACAATACAGGGACATTGTCAGGTCCTTAGGGGAAAGAGGAGTTTAGAAAAAAAAGAGAGAGATCATAGCATGCAATTTAAAGTAATGAATCACCAAGAGGGTTATACTTTAAGCCAGAATAGGATCACTATTTAATACCAAGGAAAGATAAACTGAATGGGAGTCAGATGATCTGGCTTCTAAATTGCATTTATACTGCTAACTAGCTGTGGGATTTCAACTTTTCAGTGCCTTTCCTAATCTACAAAATTGAAACCTGTTCTGCCTACCTAATAGGTTGTTGTGAGAATCAGCTAACTATACATGAAAAAATATGTGCTCCTCCTTCCACATATGGAATTCTTTCTGGGTGGTAGGTGCCAAGCCAAGGCCTACATTTCTCTCCTCCTTTGGTCCTTTGGTAGGACCAAAACTAGGTCTTAACAATGGAATTTGACTAGAAGTGATGTGTGTCTCTTCTAGGCTGACACAGTTAAGTAGTGGTATGCCTTCTTCATCCTCTATCCCCGTCTGTTTGGAAGACTCTGGAATGGCAGAGCCATTAGATGGAAGAGCCTAGATCCCTGAATCACTACATGGAGAAAAGCCACCCACCAACCAAAGAGTCCCCACCTTAGACTACTTACGAAAGAGAAGTAAGCTTCTACCATATATATATATATATATATATATATATTTTTTTTTTTTTTTTTTTTTGGCTGTACACGGGCCTCTCACTGTTGTGGCCTCTCCTGTTGTGGAGCACAGGCTCCGGACGCGCAGGCTCAGTGGCCATGGCTCACGGGCCCAGCTGCTCCGCAGCATGTGGGATCTTCCCGGACCGGGGCACGAACCCGTGTCCCCTGCATCGGCAGGCGGACTCTCAACCACTGTGCCACCAGGGAAGCCCAAGCTTCTACCATATTAAGCCACTGAAATTTTGAAGTTTTTTTTTTACAGCAGCTAGCATTACCCTAATAGACCAAGTAAGCCTAGGAGTGTCTCCAGAGTAATGGAGTCAAGTTTCTCAGAATACATGAAAAGCAAAGTCCTTTTGAAAATGAAGTAAGAAGAATCCTGTAGATAAGAAAAATATAAAATTACAGGCATTTAGGAAAACATTTCAAAAGGCAGCTATGCAAACCCACATGGATCTAAGATACTTTTTAGATCTCACTGTGAGAGGAAAAATAATTCTATATCTTAAGAATCCATTCTGCAGAAGGTGATTTCTTTTAAATTGTATAACAGTAAGTGTTTTATTCTCCCTGAAAAGTACAGTTCACACTAGCAATAAAAAAGTCAAAGAAGTTCCACTGAAACAAGAAAATCAGTACAGTTAAATAACCAACTACCCTTTTAACTGTGCCCAAGGGAAGCAAGCTTTAACACTAAACCACCAAGGAATGTCTGAAGTTTAGGCCTACTTCCTGGTTGCATAGTTATGAATCACTGATGACTAATACTTGGACAGTTTTGGCTATAATCTATGTCCTAACCAAGGGTAAAATATATTTAGTAAGTGACATTCAACAAAATATTTATTGAGTACTGACTTTATGCAAGCTCTCTTAAGGGACACAATAATGTATAGGATAAACATTCCTCAAGGGACTCTAGCAGGAGAGAGAAAATAAATATATAGCTTTCACAGAAGGCGGTATGTGAAATGTGGGTTATAAAGCACTCTAGGAGAGTATTAAAAGTATAATCCTTATTTTAATGACCCAAAGACTTCTGTGATATACTGGAGGAAATGAATTTAAAGTCAACGTTTCTGTCTCATATACAACTCTGAGAGTGTAAATTGATACGATATTTTTGGATGGCAATTTGGAAATATCTATCAAAACGTGAAAATAAGCATCCCTTTCCCCTAGCAATTCCACTTCTAGGAATTTATCCTAGGAAGAAAAGGATATGTACAGGAATGTTAACTGAAAATTGTGATAAAATGGAATAATACACAGCTATTAAAAATAAACAGATAACAGTAGAAAAAATATATGTAGTAACTGGGAAAGATATTCAGAATATATTATTAAATAAGAAAAGCAAGGGCTTCCTTGGTGGCACAGTGGTTGAGAGTCCGCCTACTGATGTGGGGGACACGGGTTTGTGCCCCGGTCTGGGAAGATCCCACGTGCCGCGGAGCGGCTGGGCCCATGAGCCATGGCCGCTGAGCCTGCGCGTCCAGAGCCTGTGCTCCACGACGGGAGAAGCCACAACAGTGAGAGGCCCGCGTACCGAAAAAAAAAAAAAAAAAAAAAGAAAAGCAAGTAGTATTTGGTTAGTTTAGCATGATCTAATTAATTTATAAAGAAAAGGATATATACATACCAATATAATTAATTGGATATGTATTTATTTATATTTTTAAAATGACTAGAAGTCCACATACCAAAGTGTTAACGGTGACTAATTTGAAAGAGTGGGATGGACACAGGGATTGAAAAGGGTACTTGTAATTTTTACATATCTGTACTTAAAAAAAATTTTTAACCATGTGTTCATATTTCTTGTACAGTAAGATAGCATGTAATAAAACAGTAGTTCCCAGGACTAACTGCACTGTGAGGCTTTTTCCAGGCCCTTGTTCACAGTAGCACTTCATCTCATTCCCTGAGAACCGTAGGGAATTTCTTTGGTGAGTTCCTTGAATTCCTTTGGTGAGACTGTAAGAGTTGTTTGTAGTTATGACTACCAACTAATCTGTGTGGCCCACTGTGCTTTGCTGCCTGACCTTAGCCAATTGTGGATTATCATGCCCTGCTGACTCATATGTTGGTGGTCACCGAGCTTGTAGAAGACATAGTAAAGTTCCTAATGTAGCTTAAAAAAAATGGATAATCAAGAGGAAAACCAAATATATTTCAACTGAGAATTGTACCTTCATTGGTACAGTCATAAACCCAGTAAAGATTAAGTCTAATACCTTTTCTAAATGGTCCCTTGTTTATTTTTTATACACATCTTATATAAAAGCAGTGTAGACTACTTAAAAGTCAAAGAAGAGAAAATGATTTCCTTAAAATTCAGCTTTAACCATATTTTTCTCTTTCAAATAGATCATTTAAATTATCAAGTTAATATAACTGTATTATAGGACATCTAGAAAACAGAATTGTAAGAGTGCCCATAATATCACCCCATTAATATAACTTATAATTTATATACTAGCCTTTTGCACATACAACCTTTACACATTTATAATCAGTAAACATTTTTTCAAGTTGCTTTCATGAAACATGTCATAAGCAGTTTTCCATATTTTTGTATAAGCTTTACTTATTGATTTTTTTGACTGCATAATATTATACCAAGTAGACTCCCATCCTTATTTTTCTAAATATTCCCCTAATTTTAGACATTTAGGTGGCTCTGATTTTAAATTACCAGAAATAAAATACTGCTAAATACTTCTGTGCTGATATTTTCAGGTTACCTCTTTAAGATAAGTTCCCCTACATAGAACTACTGGGACAAAATTTGTTTTAAAATTATATGGCTCTTTCTACACATTGCCACACTTAACAAAATTTGATAGCATTTGGTTAAAAAAAAAAAGAACTTTTATATTTCTTTGATCACTATTGAGATTCAAAGTGTTTTCAGATTTAATAGTTCTAGCGCCCCTTTTGTAAAGTGTCTGTTTGATGTCCTGTGCTCATTTATTTATTGTGGTTTTACTCTACTTTTGACCATTCTAATTTTTAAAATAGCATAGTACATTTACAGCATTTTTCACAATATGATCACTGAAATGCATTGTAGGAACCACAGCTATATGTATTGCTTTTCTCTGGGAAGCTGCCATTCAGACTGAACCTCAGCACAAAAAAAGAGGCTTGTTAAAACAGTCAAGAAGCTATGTGAGATTACTTTTAGGATAAAAATATAATTTCTTATGGCCATATATTATTAGAAACCTCATGCAGGAAAAATTTGCTACTGCTTTTCTGAAATGGTTTGTGATTTTCACCTTTAGGGGTCTTCGGTGTGATATATTATTCAAAATGTATTGACCCAAGGGCTCAGACTTGGTAAACATGCTGATCAACAACTGGTAAATATGCTACATATGAAACACACATCCACCTGTTCAAATTCCCCATTAGGAACAGGATAGTTGTTTTTGTTTGAATTGTCAACTATTATTGTACTTTATGCCTGATGGCACACTGGGGATCAAAATGCACTATTCACAATATTACTCTTGGAAGAAAATATTAGCACCATTATTTTACTTTAGATGACAAGCTCAGGCCTGCCTTCTATTTTGTTTTCAGTGCAAATTCATGTCTCCTCCAAAACAAGAAAGGGACAGGGAAGTAAGCACGGAGAGACTCAGACTTTTGTTCCTGGCTTTCCCACTGACTGAATTTGTGACCTGGGGCTGTCACCTAACTTGTTGGGGAGCTTGGTTTCTGTCTCACTTCTCACAGGGGAAGAAAGGAGAGAAAAGGGATCTAAAGTGTGTTATAACTATGTCAGGTTTTGACATACCTAATTCTCAGATCTGTTAGAAGTAAAATCCTTAAGAGTTGGGATTGCATCTTCCCTATCTACAGCATCTTGCATAGTCCCTATCACAGTATAAAACACAATATATATGAATGAATGAATGAATGAATGAATTTATTCTATTTTACAAGAGAGGAAGATAAAGCTTTGAGAGTTTAACCATCTGAGATGACGATCTAGGGAGCAATAGATGGAAACTCAGGGCTATCTGGTTCCAAAGCTCATGTTTTGATGAGAAATACATGGGAAATCACCTTCCAGCATTCATGTACTATTTAAATTTTTAGAAAGTACAATTTTTAAAAAGTACTTTTAAAAGTAAGTTTTTAAACAAGACTGGCAGGGACTTCCCTGATGGTCCAGTGGTTAAGACTTTGCCTTCCAAGGCAGGGGGTGCAGGTCCAATCCCCGGTCAGGGAGCCAAGATTCCACATGCCTCGTGGCCAAAAGAAACACAAAACAAAACATAAACAAGACTGACAGAGAAGAAAGGTAATATTATTTTGACCAAA